TATATATATATATATATATATATATATATATATATATATATATATATATATATAGATATAGATATACATATGCATTCAGTCCCATACACACACAAACATACATTCAAAAAACATCCCATATCCAATAACTACATACAAAATGCACAATTGCAATCAAATCAATCAACGAATAATGAAACGGATAATAATAAAATATTACATAAATATGATATAATAATCACATGGACAGATGGATGAAAAACGAATGAATTTATGATGTGTAGGAACAAACAATCATGGAAGATGAACGAATGAAATAAGCTCTAATAATGAAACTGATGACTATTCATCAAATACTGCGATCCTGCTCTAGTTGATAATACTGCTGATAGATTTTCTGCATGAATATGCATCTTGCATTGCCTCTGTTGTCTAATTGCTTAGCGCTTAATATAAGATGTCAATGAATGCTTGTTTTATAGCCTACGGCAACAACAACATCTACTACTACTACCTCAAAAATAACCATCCACCTACAAGTCATATCCCCGTCCATGATGTGCTTCAACAAACAACTATTTACACTGTACACACACATAACATCACCAAACAAATTAAAAACACCACACTGTTAAAAAGCATAAGCATATATTCAATAGCAGCATTTCAATTCATTCATTAATCTCACCAGACAACAGCCATTTACCAATCCACTTGTAACTTCACCTATCTACTAGTATCTTCTGTTTATACGCTACAAATTAATTGCATTAATTTCTTTGCTATGAGTCATTCCTCAAACATTACTCCTATTCTGAACCATCTTTTTGTTTGGTCATCATTATCATCAATACCATTATCACTACCACCGGTAATCAAATAAGAAGACTAAGCCTAGGAAGCTTTATAAAACGACCAAAAGAAATTGTTTCATGAAAATAATCTTAAGAAACATTAAGCATGCAGCATCATCAGTAAGTTGAAACGGCCATAAAGCTTGAAATATTGGTAGTTTAAGAGGAATTTGAAGTAGCATCAGCCGAACGATGATATTTCGGTAGAATGAAAGTACCGAAGTAAATACATAAATATATCTGTTGCTGATTTAACTGCCAACCCATCGCCCGCCGCTCAACGTTTCTCGATGCTCTTCTTCACAGTTTTCACAAGCATGCATAATTCGTCATAAGCAAAAATCAACTAACGGTATTTATTCAGACGAGTATCATTCAATCAACTACCAAAAACTGGGTGGCAAATAGATAAATACTAACAAAAATCACGTGTTATAATGACGATCGCTTACGAAAGCAGCAATAATATTACACAGATCGATGATCATCATGATTCACTTACGTATGATCTGCATCACATTTTACAGATAACAAAGGCAGCGAGGAACGAGGACGGACAAAAAGTCGAGGAATATGACGAATGATGAAATAAAGCAAATCAAAGAAACCAGCCTGATTGTGACCGTGGCATCAACAGCAGCAACAATGACAGTTCATTTCTTATTATTATTGTTATCATTACTATAACTACTCAACAATCACATGCATTATTGTTTTTATTACTACGATGATGTACCACCCGGATTAGAACAACAGTATGATAAATTAATGAATGCGGCTACCTAGCAGCCATGAAGATTACATCAATTAAAAGTAGTTAGTCAGTCTCAGCTAGAGTATATCAGTCGTGTCAAATTTATTATGATATAACATTGAAAACATGCAAAAAACAAACGTATAATTATGCATTACACAAACACATACGTACATGCATTATTGTAGACAGTAAAGGATAATATGAAATCAACATTCAAGAGGAGATGAACGAATGAGCACTCCTTTGGTAGACGTAAGACGTTGACGAAAAATCTGAAAGGGTGCATGAATGAATAATCGATGAATGAATGCATTATGACACGTATAGCCGACTGC